TTTCGCTTTCACTTGAAACATCAAAGTGGAAAAAGAACTTGCTTAAAATAGGTCTATTTTGTGATGAGAATAAGGGAAAAAAATCCATTTTACTTTCTTGAGACAGGGTCTCACACTGTCACTTAGGCTGGAGTACAGTGGTACAATCTCAGCTCCCTGCAACCTCTGCCTCTCAGGCTCAAGTGATCCTCTCCTCCCACCTCAGCTTCCTGAGTAGCTGGGACTACAGGTGTGGACCACCATGCCCAGCTAAGTTTTGTCCATTTTTGGTAAAGAAAGGGTCTGGCCATGCTGCCCAGGCTGGTCTCTCATCACACTACTACAACCTCTGCCTCCCAGGTTCAAGCTATTTTCCCGCCTCAGCCTCCCAAGTAGCTGGGATTACAGATATGCTAATTTTTAATTTAAAAATTATCTGGGCTTAGTGGAGATGGGGTTTCACCATGTTGGTCACGCTGGTCTTGAACTCCTGACCACAAGTAATCTGCCTGCCTTGGCCTTCCAAACTGATGGGATTACAAGTGTGTATCCCAGGGCCCAACCCCATTTACTCTTACTCTGTTTCTTATAAGATAGAACTCATGAATTGCACAAAGGAATATAGAGGTCAGGAAATACTTCCAGCTGAAATGTTAAGAAATAAAAATACTGAGGCCGGGCACGGTGGCTCACACTTGTAATCCTAGCACTTCGGGAGGCTGAGGTGAGTGGATCACCTGAGGTCAGGAGTTCACCACCAGCCTGACTAACATGGTCAAACCCTGTCTCTGCTAAAAAAAAAAAAAAAAAAAAAAAAACCGCCAGGTGGGGTAGCGCCTGTCTATAATCTGAGTTACTTGGGAGGCTGAGACAGGAGAATTGCTTGTACCTGGAAAGTGGAGGTTGCAGTTAGCTAAGACTGGGCCATTGTTGGGATTACAGGCATGCACTACCATGCCTAGCTAATTATATATTTTTAGTAAAGATGGGAGTTTCTCTATGTTGGTCAGGGTGGTCTCAAACTCCCGACCTCAGGTGATCCCCTCGCCTTGACCACCCGAAGTGCTGGGATTACAGGTGTGAGCCATAGCACCTGGGCCAATAATTCTTCTTTAATATTCCAGTGGCCAACAATTCCTACTTTAAATTGTTGCAAAAACATCACTGTAGTAAAAAGCGTCACTCAGATTTGACAAACTGAGTGACACCCCCAGGTTTTACAAATTTAGTGATACCCCCTCAAAGCTAACAGCATGATTATATAATTGGGAAGAGTTGATCCTAAGAGAAAACATGAGTTCCAGAGATGTTTAAGAACTATCTATGTGTGTAATCTGTACTGCCAGTTAGCCCCAGAAATGCCATGGACACAAAATCTGCCCAAGCTGAAAACAAAATATGCCATCTTTAGCACATTATTGTGATTCAGGTGGTCTTTACTGCAGGGCTTTTTTTTCCGTGTAACCCTCAGCAAGCTGCTTGAGGCCAAGAAGTGAAGACCTGAGACTAAAGCAAATAAAAGTATACACTAACTTTTACTGACCATTTTGAACACAGACAGTTTTAAACCAAGGGTCACTGTGCCAGGAGGGGAAAAATTAAGCACTGTAATTATATATATTGAGCTATCCCAAGGTTAAAATAATCATTTTTACTACGATAATGATCTGGAGATTCAAAAAAAAAAAACAAAAAACAGAAAAAAACACTCAAGTTGACTGGGCCAGAAACCTATTTGCCCTTCCTTCTCCCCAACATTTTTTTTTTATTTCGAGTTAGTTCTAGCTAAGGACTTTACACCCTTGTTCACTTAAGTCACCCTAAAGTAGCGTATTTAATTAACATTGGTTACTTTCTCATTGGAGTCTTTTTTGTCATTTTAAAGAAATCCTAATTAAAATGGACAACTTGGACAGATTCTGATGGAATTAATCTTGTTCGCCTCCTCTTTTCTTTTTGACAGAGGTCTCTGGCGGTACTAAGACGCAAGTGATCAGCTGAAGGGAGAAATTGAACACCATGTGACGGACAAATTACCTGCCTCAAGAAAACACTTATGGCCATTCTGCAGCCACTCAGTGACCTTGGCTAGAAACCAACGGCTGTGCGGCGTGGGTTAAGAAGAAAATACCCTAGGGATCCAGGACTTAGGCGTTTGGTGAAACGGCCGCTTCCACTGCAAGGCTTTGTAATGTCTAGTCTGTAGACTGGAGAATATTAATACTGACTCACGCAGAAACGATATAGCTACATATTGAAGTGGGGGAAGGGGTGGCTAAACCCTCTGCAAATAGGAAGTGCGGCAAGAACACCGAGATAAGGATGTAGCCCTGCGTGAGCGCAGCCTCCGAGTTTTTCTCCCGCCTATCAGCACCGACTCCCCCGGTCTCGGGAGGCGCCTCCAGCTCCCCGGGAATGAGCAATGTGCCGGCCGCAGCCGGGACCCACAGAAATGGGGAAGAGCGCTGGCGCTGCGTAGGCCCAACCGTTCCCCGCGCCCTCGCCCCCGGCCCAGCTCAGCCCTTCTTCCCCCGACCCGGCAGAGTGGCCTCACCATGGGGCGAAGAACTCGACAAGCATGAGGCCCGCAGACCCCGTGTCAGAGATGCGACTCTCGAAGTTGTCGTCCGTGAGTTCCAGCACGTCGGAGGCAGCGGCTAGGCGGGTCGCGGCGAGAAGCAGCGCCACACCCGGGAACAGCGCTAGGCGGCGGAGGCGCATGGCGGCAAGGTGAGGTGGGGGCGGCCGGAAGAGTCGGGGCTCGGCTGGGACTGTGGAGGTCGTGCGCGCGTCCCCACAGCGGCTGTCTGCGCTCGCGCGTCTGGCCCAGGCGGACCTGCAGCCGGAGGTCCCAACCCCCTAGCCCGACTCGGGCCGCAGTGTGGCAGCCGCCGATTGGCTGCGCTGCGCCTGCGTCGTGCGGGCGGGACCAGCTGGTAACCGCCTAGTGGCCGGAGCCTAGGGCGGGGCGGAGGCGGCGAGGGCCTGGGCGAGCGTGGCTAGGCCGGTTCCTGGGCTGGGCCCAGGGGCGAGGGTTGGGCCCGGGGCGAATCGGAACCTGGGGGGTCGGGCGGGGCAGGCTGGAGCTGAGAATGGGGCGCAGTGGGGCTGGGAGCCGACCCTGAGCTCGTCCTGCGTGGAGGGAGCTTTGCTCAGAGCTGGAGGCGGAAGCGTGAAGTCAGGACTGAGTGGGCGAAGAGAACCTGGGCTGAGGTGAGGCCCAGAAGCGAAAATTGAGGGGAGAAGAAACTAGCCCCTGGGGGAGTGTTGGGGTGAACATACTTGGGACTGTACCCGTTTTCAAAATGTCAGGCTTTTGCATTTTGTCCAGTTCCTCTTCAACTGGTTTCTCTTTCGGGGGCGGGCTAAGCCCTCCCCCAGCCTCACCTCAATGCGGGGTTCTCTCGGGCCCAGGTGAAGCTCACATTCTTCTGTTTCTAGCCCCGGGCCCTTGCCCTGTGGCTGCTCCTTTTTTATGTATGTGTGTGTGTTTATTTTATTAAATGAGTTTTTAATTAGAAATGCCATCACAATGTGAAGATGCCTGGCCACTTGGTCGACTGCGCAATATCTTTACCACTCTTGGCCCCTTTTGTTTCAAAAAACCCAGAGTCTTAGTACAATGTTCTTCCTAGCTCCTCCTAGTTCCTAAATGTGGGTTCATTAAGGAATCTTAAGTGAAAAGAGGGTGGGAAAGAGGGGCAGGAAACCTGTAATCCTTGGTGCAGCTCCAACAATGAAATGACATTTGATTCTTCCATTTTCTTAGCAGACATGGCCACTTATCACCAAGAAGGGCAGATGCAGCTGCCCCGAGCTGATGCCATTCGTTCACGTCTCATCGATACTTTCTCTCTCATCGAGCATTTGCAAGGCTTGAGCCAAGCTGTGCCGCGGCATACTGTCAGGGAGTTACTTGGTCAGCAGCCTATTTCTTCACTCATTTAAATTTAAGACTTCTATCCATATTTTCTACATTTAAGAGTGGAAAATTCTGGGGAGGTCGGCTTGGTTGCTGGTTTACCAAACTTGATCAGTCAAGGGCCTGTAAATAAAACTGAGGTGATAGGATCCATGTCTTTCACTTTTAGACCTAGCATAGCCACTAGCCTTGGGTGATTTTGAAAAGTTTCTACCAAAGACACTTAAAACTTTGAGAGTGAGCCTGCTGCTTTTCTGGGTAAGGACAGTGTTGGTCATAAGCAATACATTTGCACTCATTCCAAACTAACAGAATTCTTAGTTGCTGCCAGAAGAGAAGGAGCAGCATTAAGGCACTAGGGGGGACTAGTTATCTGACCAATATCCCTGCTCCCAAACCTACCTACTCTATTTATATTTATCCACTGTCCCTTTTTAATTTTGTTGTAGATCCCTCTCGCCAGAAGAAACTTATGTGGGAAGATCAACAACAGCTAGTGCGCTTCTCAATAAAGCCTCAACATACAGGACAGATTTCACAAGCCCAGAGGCTATTGAGCAAGCTTCATATTCGCTGTAGTCAGAGGCCACCTCTTTCTTTGTGGGCCGGATGGGTCCTTGAGTGTATCCTTCATGTCACTTATTTTTATCCTGGCTGTTCGTCATCTGCCTAATGACTTATTTTTTGCTCCCCAAACTCCTTTTTCTCATTCTCACTGGTTATGTTATTGCCCTTATTATTTCAGCTGCATAAATCAGAAATAACTCCACTCTGTGTTTCCTTAAGAGACAACAGGTCCTCTTTTCACAAACTTCATCATCTTCCTCATCTTTTTGAATACAATCGTATTGATGGTTGAAATAGGTAAGAACTGATAACTGTATGAAAGAGGAAGTGAGGCTGGGCATCTGTAATCCCAGCCCTTTGGGAAGCTGAGGCGGGCGGATTGCCTGAGCTCAGGAATTTGAGACCAGCCTGGGCAACATGGTGAACCTCTGTCTCCACAAAAAAATACAAAAAATTAGCCAGGCCACGTGCCTGTAGTTCCAGCTGCTCGAGAGGCTGAAGCCAGAGAAGTACTTAAACCCAGGAGGTGGAGGTTGCAGTGAGCTGAAATCACACCACTGCACTCCAGGCTGGGTGACGGAGTGTGACTCCGTCTCAAAAAAAAGAAGTGGATAAGGGTAATTTTTTTTTCTAAATTGATCATTTTACATTTTTGAATGTCATTTGAATTGTGATAGGGACAAGTAAGCCTCCTGGAGTAGGATTTATGCAACTGCTAAAATCTGGAAATGTTGGCTAGGTTGGGTAGCTTATACCTGTAATCCCAGGCACTTTCAGAGGCCGAGGTGGTTGGATCACTTGCGGTCAGGAGTTCAAGATTACCCTGGCCAACGTGGCAAAACTCCGTCTCTACTAAAAATAAATAAATTACTTGGGTGTGGTGGTGGGCACCTGTAATCCCAGCTACTCAGGATGCTGAGGCAGGAGAATCACTTGATCCTGGGAGGCGGAAGTTGCAGTGAGCTAAGATCACGCTACTACACCCCAGCCTGCGGGACAGAGTGAAACTCCATCTCAAAAAAAAAAAAAAATAAGTAACATTTGGAGGGCTCTCAAAAGTATAGTAAATTCAGAATATCTAGACATACAGAACTAGGTATATGTAGCAATTTAACAACTCCACAAGAAAATGAATGTGTTTTATTTCTGTTGTCAGCTTAGCCTGACATTTGTTTGAATTAACCTTTTCTGTTAAAGATACTGGTGCCTATCAGCGAACAATCTAACATTTACATTTTTACAGGTATATTTAGAAAGATTATTTAAGTGCAAATAAGAAAGCTCACAAAATATGCAAAGGTAGGTACAGCTAAGATATTAGCTGAGCCAAAAATTTAGTTAAAAACGAAATGATTATTTAATAAATTATATGAAACAGGCCAGGCACTGTCGCTCATACCTGTAATCGCAGCACTTTGGGAGGCTGAGGCAGGCAGTTCATGAGGTCAGGAGATCGAGACTATCCTGGCTAACACGGTGAAACTCTTGTTTCTACTAAAAAATACAAAAAATTAGCCAGGTGTGTTGGCACGCACCTATAGTCCCAGCTACTCGGGAGGCTGAGGCAGGAAAATTGTTTGAACCCGGGAGGCAGAGGTTACAATGAGCCAAGATCATGCCACTGTACTCCAGCCTGGGCAACAGAGCGAGACTCTGTCAAAACAAAAATTATGTGAAACATATTCAAAACGTAAGGATGTCTGCAGAATCAGTGAGCTCATTTGTTGATAATCTAAAACTGGTCAGAAACGATGAAAGGACAGTAGAAGAAATTATTTGTTTCACTTTCACTTGTGTGGAAGTCTCCCACTTTATTGAATCTTACTTTGTTTCTTAGGTTGCAGTGCAGTGTGTGATCATGGCTCATTGCAGCCTTGACCTCCAGGGCTCAATTGATCCTCCCACCTTAGCCTCCTGAGTAGCTGGGACTACACGTGTGTGCCACTACACTAGCCTAATTTGTTTTTTGTTTTTTGTTTTTTTTGAGACAATATCTTGCTCTGTCAACCAGGCTGGAGTGCAGTGGCATGATCTCGGCTCACTGCAGCCTCCACCTCTCGGGCTTAAGCAATGATCTGCCTCAGCCTCCCGAGTAGCAGCTGGGATCACAGGCATGTGCCACCACATCCAGCTTATTTTATTTTTAGTAGAGTTGGGGTTTCACCATCTTGGCCAGGCTTGAACTCCTGACTTCGTGATCCGTCCACCTCGGCTTCCCAAAGTGCTGTCATTAGAAGTGTGAGCCACTGCACCCGGTGTAATGTGATTTTTTTTTGTAGAGACAAGGCCTTACTATGTTGCCCAGGCTGGTCTTGAACCCCTGGGCTCAAGTGATCCTCCTGCCTCAGCCTCCCAAAGTGCTGGGATTATAGGCATAAGCCACTGCACCCAGCCTAGGAGGAATTTTTAAGAGAAGGGCATAGTTATGAAGCTTTTGGCTGTTTATGTCACATGGATATTTTCCTCAACAGAAATGTACAGGGCCAGGCCAGGCGCGGTGGCTCACGCCTGTAATACCAGCACTTTGGGAGGCTGAGGCAGGTGGACCACCTGAGGTCAGGAGTTCAAGACCAGCCCAACCAACATGGAGAAACACCATCTCTACTAAAAATACAAAATTAGCCATGTGTGGTGGTGCATGCCTATAATCCCAGCTACTCACGAGGCTGAAGCAGGAGAATCATTTGAACCCAGGAGGCAGAGGTTCCAGTGACCCGAGATTGCACCATTGCACTCCAGCCTGGGGAACAAGAGCAAAACTCTGTCTCAAAAAAAAAAAAGAAAGAAATGTCCACTGCCTGTAGCCACTGTAGAACTAGAAGAAAAGAGGTTCAGAACTCTGCCTGTAGCTCTAAGTCCCCTATAAGCTTTGGGGCTCAGGCACGTTGGCTTATGCCTATAATCCCAGCTCTTTGGGAAGCTGAGGTAGGCGGATTGCTTCAGCTCAGGAGTTTGAGACCAGCTTGGCCAAAGTGGAGAAGGTTCATCTCCACAAAAAATACAAAAATTAGCTGGGCGTGGTGGCACATGTGTGTAGGCTCAGCTACTCAGCAGGCTGAGGTCGGAAGATTGCTTGAGCCTAGGAGGCGGAGGTTGCAGTGAGCCATCACGCAACTGAACTCCAGCTTGAGTGACAAGGTTAGACCCTGTCTCAAAAAAATAAAATAGTCCTTTAGTGCAGTCAGATCAAATATATTTAAAAATACAACAAATAATTGATGTCACTGACCCACTACAGTATACTGTATACTTTGAGGTGTTTTATTTCCTC